GCTAACAGTCAGACTTGCTGTCTGCAATTAGCTTTTCTGTCACAATCTGGGGCAGGTCTTGCTCCCTGCCTGTTTAACTGAAAGGCTCTCGTTGGTGGGTAGAACTGGCCATCAGACTCACTGTCTGCAGTTAGCTTGCCTGCCACAGTTCAGGCAGCCATTTCTTTGAGAGAGATTACTGAAAGCAGCCAGAGTGGAGGACTGGGAAAACTGATTGTTGGTGGAATAAAATTTTTGTCTTCCTGGTAACCAGGGCTAGGTCTTGGAGAGCTGCAACATGTTAGGTGTTTGCTACTGTTGCATAACAAACCATCTCAGAATTCCATGACATGATAAATAAGCAATTATTAGTATGCTTATAGACCAGCTGGGTCTCCTGTGGATGATTGGTGTGGGCTCCTCTCTCCTTTTTTCTTACTCTTCTGGGACCTGTGGGCTAACCAGGGCATGCTCTTCTCATGGCGGTGGCAGAGGTGAAAGAAGGGTGAACAGAAACACACGAGCCTGGCTTCAGAATGAGTACCCTGTCACCTCCACCCACATTCCTTTGGCCAAAGACTACTACCAGTGGGGGTGGGAAATATTCTCCACCTCAAATGTGACTTGGCCGTTTGAGTCACATGGCAAAGTGTACGGATTCAGGGAGGGGGAGAGAATGGGGACAATAGAATTGCCACTTGAGTTTGGTACTTTTCTATTGAATCCTGAGAAGATTCAATATCTTCCTGGAAGAACATGTCTCTTGAGACTGATAGGAAGGAAAAACTGGCTGATGTCTCTTATGCTGGTATGGAAGTCCTTTTGAAAGTTTAGAAACTAAGTTCCATAATGACCAGGGCAGTGACAGTCTGGAGCATTTCCTGTATTCAATAAATACTTGGTTGATTAAATGATGAAAGAATATACATATAGTTGCAAATCTACATATAGACATAAAGGGATAAAAAAGAATGTATCTACCTATATAGAAAGGGGGTAAAGAGAGTGTAACAAAAATACCAAGTTGGGAGTCAAGAGACAAGGATTCTTGGGGTGCCTGGGTGGCTCAGTCAAGCGTCCGACTTTGGCTCAGGTCATGATCTCAGTTTGTGAGTTCAAGCCCCATGCCCGGCTCTGTGCGGACAGCTCAGAGCCTGGAGCCTGCTTCCGATTCTGTGTCTCCCTATCTCTCCTCCTCCCTCACTCACACTCCATTTCTCGCACCCTCAAAACTTAAAAAAAAAAAAAAAAAAGGATTCTCATCCTTGCTCTGCTTGTAATCAGCTCTTCTGCAACCTTGTGCAGATTTCTCATTGGTCCTCATGTGAAATGGGGTGATTGGATTAGATGATCTCTAAGGGGCTTCCAATTTCAGTTCCCTAAGATTCTGAGATTTCCTGTGATTCTAAGTCACCACTTCAGCTACTAGCAGATCCCAGTTCTATTGGCTAGATATACCCACTTTACCTCCGTACCACCAGCTTCCACCTGATGGGCCCTTTAAAAGGCACAGGCTCAGTGCATCTCACTTGCTAGTGTAGACATGGAGTCTGAGCCCTGAAGTGCCCCATGAGCAAGAAGCCTAAGAAACACAATTGGCCACTACCACATGACAGGGGATCATATGGCTGGGCTCAGGATTACTGGTTATGACCGTCTTCTTGGAGCCCACACAGGTCACTCTCTGTGTCCAGGCTTCCTGTGTTAAAGGTGAGCCTGCTACTGGTCTGATTCATTTTTTTGGTAATCTTTATCCTTGAAATTCAGTAATTTTTATAGGATATGTCTAAATCTATGCCTTTGTCCATGATTCCTGCCTAGAATTTAGTGGGCATTTTTTTAAAAAATATTTTTATTTCTAGGAGAGAGAGAGACAGCGTGAGCAGGGGAGGGTCAGAGAGAGAGGGAGTCACAGACTGAAACAGGCTCCAGGCTCTGAGCTGACAGTCAGCACAGAGCCCGACGCGGGGCCCGAACCCACGAACCGCGAGATCATGACCTAAGCTAAAGTCGGACACCCAACAGACTAAGCCACCCAGGCGCCCCTAGTGGGCACTTTTAACCTGCACACTCAAGTACTTTTTCTAACTAGAGATGTCCGTTATTTTTAAAACGATTTCCTCTCCTCCCAGAATGTCTTTTATTCCTGCATCTGTCCTCAAAGGCTCTCATTTACTCCCTATTTCCCTTCGTTTCCTTGTTCTGAATTTTGATGGTTTCTTCCACTCGCTCTCTCAGCCCATGAATGTAGTTCTCGATATTATCATACCATCTTTAAATTTTTCCATCCCACTTTCAAATTCAAAGCTAAAATTATATAAGTTCTCCCAAAACCCGTGTCTCGTTTTTGGTATTTTGGTCCCTGAAGTGTGGTGTTTCCTGCGGCAGCTCAGTCTCACCACGGGCTTTGTGTTTGTGAACATTCAGAAACCGTTTGCTGGGCCCCATCCCAGGCACAGAGGTACTGCAATGAACCCAAGACTGACTGAATCCCGCTCTCTCGGAGCTATGATGGGTGGTTTTCTTTGCTTTCCTCCCCTGATTGCTGGATTTCCTCAGGCACTTTGTTTTGTCTACTCTCACCTCTGTACACCTTGGGAGGTGGGACAGATGCTCCTAGAGCAGCAAACTGCGGCTGGTAGGAGGCCTGCAGATTTCTAAGGGCCAGCATTACAGTAACTGGGATAGTCTCTGTCAGAAACCCGTTCCTCCTGAGCAAGGAAAACTCCGTTGACCCTCTGGGGCGCGCACGCACGCACGCACGCACGCACACTCACGCCACTCTTCCACAAGTCCTAAGCCTCCCCACCACTTTTGTTCCTTCTACCTTAATGGAGACAATAGCTGGCACCTGCGCTCTTCTTTGGAGGTCTTGGCAGAGCCTGTAGTCCTGCTTCTAGGCCTTACCTGAATGAACCCAGCAGCCATTTTGTTCAGTAGAGATGGGTGAATGGGAGTTGAGAGGAAATAACATTAAAGGTGCCTTCAAGCTGGCCACCTTCACCTTCCAGTGCCTTCTGTCAGTCCCCAGGGGCTATGTTAGGGAGCTCTTCCTAGAGAGAACTGGAGTCAATTAAGGTTGAGCTGGGACGGAGACTCCTAGCCTGTTAGCCATAGGCGGCAGTGACTAGATCTCAGGACCATCCTGGGTCTCCACTCCTGTAGCTGTACGCTACGGGAGCCAGACCAGACTTCTTAGGTGCCTCCAGCACTACAAACCAACTGGCTTATGCCTTACTAAATGTCTACAATACCAGAAGAGGCCAGGGGATAGTTCTCCACTTCATTAGTCTTACACATGTTCTGGGTGCCCTGTGAAGACACTTCCCACTTTTCTTACCAGGACAGGCTATAACGGTCAGCGCTTATGCTCCATAAATATGCCTTGACTGAAAGGGCTACATGATCTAATGTCTCCAAAATACTTCCCAGCTGAAAAGTACCCTCCTAGTCCCTGAGACAGCCAAGTTATTTATCTAAATCAGTTTGCGTCCCAAAGTTTTGAGTCCAGGTGGGGTTTTTGCTTAAAGTCCCAGAAAAGCATTCGGCTTATTCTCAAACATCAGAATCACAGGAAGCTCTTGTTAGAAACACCTTACCCCAAATCTGAGGCAGAATCTCTGGTGGGGCCCAGAATTCTGCATTAAAATTTTTTCTTAAATGTTTTATTTCTGAGAGAGCGAGCGAGCGAGCGAGAGCGAGCATGAGCAGGGGAGGGTCAGAGAGGAAGACACAGAATCTGTAACAGCCTCCAGGCTCTGAGCTGTCAGCACAGAGACCGACACGGGGCTCGAACCCACAAACCGTGAGATCATGACCTGAGCAAAGTTGGACGCTTAACCGACTGAGCCACCCAGGCGCTCCCAGAATTCTGCATTTTAAATGCATGGTCAGGGCAGGGCCTCTGATTTCATTACCTAGTGGGCCCTGGATGAGCTTCCGCAGCAGAGCAGGTAGTGCGTATTTGTGGCCAGAGCTTATACCTGTGAAGGGCAGGCGTGGTGACTCAACGGGAATGGGATGCCCCAAGATGTCTCACTGTACCTGAAAAACATGTTACCAGTTTGGTAGTTCTCAGCATGCTTCTCAATGTGCTGATGGAGTAAGGACAGAGAGCCTTCAGCTGCAATGGCCACAGTGGCCCTCTACTAAACAAGGCCTTGAACATGCAGAATGAGGCCACCTGTTGCAAAATGATCACCTGATCTCATACCCTTCTGTCCTCTAAGACACTTCCTGAAAAGATGAAAGAAAATATACAGAATGGGGAAAAATCTGTCACTACTGGAAAAGAGGGATCATGTAGAAATTTAGAAGAACTTGGGGGAAAAAATAGTGTATTAGGGACCCGAGGGAGAGGGGCTGCTCAACTGGTTATGGCACATGCATGAAGGTGGGGTCTGTAAAGATGGACGTCCCTGGCCCTACCTGAGCAGAAACCCAGAAATGTTGATAACAGTGTCAGCTGTTGCTGGGCTTTCTCTATTTCTGGTGAAGGCAGACTTCCTTATCAATGGCAGTTGGGATAGTTGTGCAAACCTTCAAACGGACCCTTCGATGTCGTGACACTACTATCTTTAAATAAATGACAGAGCAGTTTGTCCACTTGTAATCCAAGTAAGGCATGAGGAGTCTGTGCCTGCCTCAGCACAGGTCCATGAGTACTGCCCATGGCTGCAAGCAAAGTCAGGTATTGGCTTCAGGGTTGTAGCTACCACCATCACCTGGCCCACTTCCTTTCTCCCTTTGGATACCTCGACTGTCCCTTTTAAATAGACAAGTAGAATAGCAAATATTATTTGGGCATCACATAAGACCCAGAATAAAGGACAATATGAAATATTGTACTGGTTTGGGCCTTTTGAGGTCTTAAAAATTTTTGTGTCACAACACTTAAAAGAATCAAAGTCGGATCTAGACATGGGGTGGGGGGGGGCAATGTTCAAATATGAAAGACCCCAACACAGGCAGGACTGTGATTGCCTAACCAATATCAGTCTCAATAAAAAAAAACCAAAAAAAACCTTGAAAATAAATTTATTATAGTAACAACGCAATGATTACTCATCATTCAGTATTTCCTAAAGACTGTGAGAAATCTAGAAGTCATTCCAACACAGAACCCACGAAAGAATCCAATCAAATGCTGATTATTTCACGCTATGCATCTCAGGAGATCATGCATCTTCAAGGTCTTCACAAACATGTATCCAAGACACTCAAATTCCAAGTCTACTCAAATAAGCTTGCCAAGCAGCTTTTCGGTACAACTCAGCTGCTTCCAGATGATTAGATGACATTATTATGCCCCGGCCTACAATGATGATATCGGATCCTCGTTTGCCAATAACTTCTTGTGGACTATTATACTGTTGGCCAAGATTATCCCCTGCAAAAACACAAAAGTCACTGTTTGTTAATAATATAATAAGGAAAAAAATTCAAGAAACTGATTAGACGACTTTTCTGAAAAAGTACCTAACCAACTTTAAATCAGTATGTGCTATTGCTTTCCATGCCCCTTCTGGACAGCAAATGAGTAGAAGCAAGTGAAGTGACTCTTTGGATAGGCGAGAGACTCCCAAGGCAGAGAACGATGCCAGGCAACTCCTCTTCAGTGTCTAATTTTAGAGCAATTATAGTTTAATAGTATTAAAAAAAACATAAATCTTCCATGTTGTCAAGAAAGGTTCATTACCAAAATAACAAACCCAATAAAAACTGACCTTGCAATCAGACATTTATACTATAGATCTCAGAATTGCTTGACACTGTTGAAAAATTCCTCAAAAACCTCTAATCTGAACACAACCAAAGTTGAGTCTTTCTGCCACCCATTGAGCCAGACTATGTACAAATCCTAATTCTTAATTTTGACTACTGCCTTTCATACTCTATCACAATCTAACTTAAATAATTTGTTGGTTTTTTTTTTTTTTCATGTTTCTTTGAGAGACAAAGAATGAGTGGGGGAGAAACATAGAGAATCTCAGCAGGCTCCACACTGTCAGTAGAAGCCACATGTTGGGCTTGATCTCATGAACTGTTGAGAAGAAATCAAGAGTTGGAGACTTAAGTGACTGAGCCTCCCAGGCACCCCAATGTTTTTTTAATTAAATATAATTACACAAAATATCCTAGGATTCAGGTGTACATGATTCAACATTTTTATACATTAGGAACTGATCCTCAAAATTAGTCATTACTATCACCATATAGTAATGACAATCTTGACTATTATCTGTACATTACACCACCATAGTTTATTTTATATCTAGAAGTCTACCTCTTAATCTCCTCTTCACCTATTTCATCCATTCCCCTTCATCTATTTCATCCATCTGTTGAGTTACTCCCTCAACTAGTAACTAACACTTTGGTTCCTGTATCTATGAGTCTGTTTCTGCTTTGTTTGATTTTTTTAAGATTCTAATGTAAGTGAAATAATCAGGTACTGGTCTTTGACTTATTTCACTTGGCATAATACCCTCAAGGTCCATTTGTCAAATAACAAGACTTCACCTTTTTTTTTTTTCCCATTATAGATATATATCACATCTTCATTCATCTACTGACAGATACTTAGGTTGCTTCCTCATCTTGACTATTGTAAATAACGCAGCAATGAACATATGGGTGCACCTCTCTCTTCAAATTGGTACTTTTTTTCTTTTAATATCCAGAACTAGAATTCTTGGATCAGATGACAGCTTTATTTTTATTTGTTTGAGAAACTAGTACTATTTTCCACCATGGCTGTACCAATTTACATTCCTACAAACACTAGTGGACTAAGGTTCCCTTTTCTCCACAACTTTATGAACACTTGCTATTTCTTGTCTTTCTCACATTAGCCATTCTGACTGGCATGAGGTATTATCTATCTCATTACGGTTTTGATTTGTACTTCCCCTGATGATTAGTGATGCTGATGTCTTTTCATGTACCTGTTGACCACCATCTACACGTCTCCTTTGGAAAAATGTCTATTCAAGTCCTTTGCCCATTTTTTAATCAAGGTTTTTTTTTTTTAATAAAATGTTTAAGTTCTTTATATATTTTGGATATTAACCTTTTATACTTACCTGATGTATTATGACTTCCAAATTCCTTCTCCTATTCAATGGGTGCATTTTCCTTTATTTGATGGTTTCCTTCACTGTCCAAAAACTTTTTAATTGGACGTAATCCCATTTTAGTTTTTGTTGCCTTTGCCTAAGAGACTGATCCAAAAAATATTGCTAAAAGAGCTTACTGCCTATGTTTTCTTCTTAGAAGTTTCTAACTTTAGGCCTCACATTCAACTTTAACACATCTTGAATTTATTTTTGTGGATGATGTAAGAAGTGGTCCAGTTTCATTCTTTTCCATGTACCTGTACAGTTTTCCCAGCACCATTTATTAAAAAGACTAAGAGGTGCCTGGGCGGCTCAGCTGGTTAAGCATCTGACTTTGGTCATAATCTTGCAGTTCACAAGTTAGAACCCTGCATCAGGCTATGTGCTGATGGCTCAGAGCTGGAGCTGGCTTCAGATTCTGTGTCCCCTTCTCTCCCCAACCCATTCCGTGCTCACACTCTCTTGCTCTCAAAAATACTTTTTAAAAATGTTTCTTTTCCCCATTGTGTAGTCTTCTTGTCTCCTTTGCCACAGATTAATTGACCACAGAATAGTGGCTTTATCTTTCTGCTCTCCATTCTATTCCATTGATCTATATGTCTGTTTTCATGCCAATACTATACTAATTCATTTACTATGGCTTTGTAATTAGAGTTTGAAATCAGGGAGCATGAGACTTCCTGCTTTGTTCCTCTTCCTCAATTCTACTTTGGCTATTTGAGGTCTTTTGTGGTTCTATACAAATTTTAGGATTTTTTGTTCTAGTTCTGTAAAAAAAAAAAATGTCTTTGGTATTTGATGGAGATGTACTGAATCTGTAGATTGCTTTGGGTAGAATGGACATTTTTTAATTCCTTAAATCCATGAGCACAGAATACTTTTCTATACATTTGTATCATCTTCAAATTCTTTCATCAATATGTTAACGGTTTTCAGAGTACATGTCTTTCACTTCCCTTGACTGAATTTATTGCTAGGTATTTTATTCCTTTGGATGCAATTGTAAACGAGTTTTTTTCTCTTTCTGATAGCTTATTAGTGCATAGAAACACAACTAATTTCTGCATGTTAGTTTTGTATCCTGCAACCCTACTGAGCTCATTTATTCTAATAGTTCTTTGGTGGACCTTCTGGATTCTCTGTAGAGACATACCTTGTTTTACCGCATTTTACTTTACTGTGCCTTGCAGATACTGCAATTTTTTCCCCCAAATTGAAGGTCTGAGGCAACCTTGTATTCAGCAAGTCTGTTGGCTTGATTTTTCCAATAGCCTGTGCTTACTTTGTATCTCTATCACATGCTGGTACCTGCCACAATATTCAAACTTTCATTATTGCTTTATTACAGTAATCTGTGATCAGTGATCTTTGATGTTACTAACGGAACTGCTGTGGGGCACAACAAACTGCCCATGGAAGATGGCGAAATTAATAAATGTGTGTTCTATCTGCTCCACCACCACCATCTCTCTCCCTCTTCTTGTGCCTCCCTATTCCCTGAGACACAGCAATATTGAAATCAGGCCAATTAACTCTACCATGGCCTCTTAGGTATTCACGTGAAAGGATGAGTTGCATGTCTCCCACTTTGAATCAAAAGCTAGAAATGACTAAGAATAGCAAGGAAGTCATGTCAGAAGTCAAGGTGGGCTGAAAACTAGTCCTCTTGCACCAAACAGCAAAGCTGGGAAGGTAAAGGAAAAATTCTTGAAGGAAATTAAAAGTGCTACTCTACTGAACATGTGAAAGATAAGGAACACCAGCTTATTGCTGATAATGGAGAAAGTTTTAGTGATCTGGATCAAAGACTGAACCAGTCCACGACACACCCTTAAGCCAAAGCCTAATCCAGGGCAAGGACCTAACTCTTAAATTCTATGAGGGATGAGAGAGGTGAGGAACCTGAAGAAGAAAAGCTGGAAGGCAGCAGAGGTTGGCTCATGAAGTTTAAGGAAAGAATCCGTCTACATTACATAAAAGTGCAAAGTGAAGCAGGAGGTGCTGATGTAGAAGCTGCAGCAAGTTATCCAGAAGATCTAGCTCAGGTAATTAATAATTAATGAGTTAATTAATGAAGATAGCTACATTAAGCAATAGATTTTCAATGTAGATGAAACAGCTTTCTTTTGGAAGAAGATGCCATTTAAGGACTTTCATAGTTAGAGAAAAGTCAATACCTGGCTTCAATGTTTCAAAGGACAGGCTGACCCTCTTTTGTTGGGTGCTGATGTAGTTTGTGATTTTAACCTGAAGCGAATGCTTATTTACCACTCTGAAAATCCCAGGGTCCTTAAGAATTATGCTAAATCTACTCTGCCTCTGCTCTATAATGGAACAACAAAGCCGGAGGACCACACATTTTTTTGCAATGCGGTTCACTGAACATTTTAAGCCCACTACTGTTAAGACCTACTGTTCAGAAAGAAAGATTCCTTTCTAAATATTACTACTTACTGACAACATACTTGATTTCCGAAGAGCTCTGCTGGCGATGTACAATGACAACAATGTTGCCATGCCTGCTAATACAATATCCATACTGAACCAAAGATTAAGTGGTAACTTCAAATTTCAAGTCTTCTTTAAGAAATATGTCTCGTAAAGCTATAGCTGCTACAGATAGTGGTTCCTTTCATAAAAGTACATTGAAAACCTTCTGGAAAGGATTCACCATTCTAGCTGCCAACAGGAACATTTGTGATTCTTGAGAAGAGGTCAAAATACCAGCATTCACAGGCTCCAACCCTCATGGAGGACTTTCAGGGCTCAAGACTCCAGGGGAGGAAGTAACTGCAGTTGTGGTGGAAACAGCAAGAGAACTAAAATCAGAAGTGGAGCCTGAAAATGTGACTGAACTGCTACAATCTCATGATAAAACTGTAACACGTGACTTGCTTCTAATGGATGAGCAAAGACATGGTTTCTGGAGACGGAAACTACTCTTGGTGAAGATGCTATGAAGGCTGTTGACAGGAGTACAAAGGATTCAGAATATTACCTCAACTTAGTTGATCAAGCAATGGCAGGGTTTGAAAGGGCTGATTCCAATTTTTTAGAGGTTAAAAATGCTATCAAACAGAACTGCATGCTCCAGAGAAATTGTTCATGAAAGAAAGAGTCCATCAACATAACACACTTCACTGCTGTCTTATTTTTAAAAATTGCCACAGCTACCCTATCCTTCAGTAACCACCATCATCACTCAGTAGCCATCAACATCGAGGCAGGACCCTCCACCAGTAAAAAGATTGCAACTTGCTGAAAGCTCAGA